CGCTACACATGTTGGGTATCGCCGCGCACGCTGGAGTGAGAGCAATAGTTCTAGGGCCAGTATTTTGGGGTATCTCTAAATTGATGACCTGTGGGGGCTTTTAAAGCGTCTTCTATGGACTTTTTGGGGTACTGGGGTTTTTCGCCGTTTTACGGATGCACGCAATTTGTAACCTGGGCATGTTGGGTATCGTTTTACTCGTTGTAACCTAATCTTTTATATTTCATTAAAAAAATGGGTATTTTGTTGTGTTTTGGGGCATTTAATTAAATTTTTCACTAAATATTGGGGTTTAATAAGGAGTTGCGCTAATATTGCGCAACATAAAAATTTGCAACTACCACCATTTTATTCTATAGGGTCTTGGCATTATAATGTTGGGGGGTTTTAAGTAATTTTCAGGCCTAAAATTTGGAATATAACATGGGTACAAAAAAATGAAAAAAAGGCCTCAGTCATGAAGGGGTTAATATTTCCATGTCAGTGCACCTCTTTAAATATATATCTATATATAGATATATATTAGAGGTGCACCGACATGGACATTTTTAGAAACAAAACCGAAATACAAAAAATTGTCAGAGATATTACACACACATGCATTGAATATACACAGTCTGTTAGGTCACTCACAGGACCAGACAATGACATTTACAGCAGACTGCTGTTATAATTTGTAATCTAATGTTCTGACAAGGTTTAGCTAACCTATCTCAAGGCAGTTCTAGATCAGACCATTGGTCAGCCAACCTAAAACTGATCTATCATTTATGATTAGATACCTGTAAGTTGAATCACAGATATATTATAGAATAGCTCACCATACCTGTTGCTACCTTTTTTGTTTGTTGTGGAGCACCAAGGTGTTTACTTAGAATGGAGCGCTGATACCACCTACCTTTGCCTAAATTATTTTTTTTGAGTGGCCTAAAAATGCGTGTGTATTTCTTGTCTTTTTTTTAATTAATCTTTCTTCATCTTTGTAGGTCGATCTTGTCTGAATTATGAATCCCAAGATGCAAAGTCTAGCCTTTCAAAGACTCTGGCACAGGTGCTACAAGACAATGTGGCCCTCCCTTATTTTATCCAATTTATGGAACTCCGCAGAATGGAACATTTAGTAAAGTTCTGGCTGGAGTCTAAGAGTTTTAATTCCACTACCTGGTCCCGAATACGAGCATACAGTTTAAACACAGTCAAGCACAGCTCCCTGGCAGAACCAGTATCTCCTGCTCCTAAACGGCCAGACTTGTCTGCAGCTTCATCACTGGCGTCAGCTGATAAACAAGCTCAAGATTCTTCAAAAGTTCCACAGCACACATCTAGGTTAAAAGGACTGAATTCTCCTGCAAAGCAGGGCAGTACTTCAAATCATTTGCAGGCAAAACAGAAAGTTGGAAGAGCGCCGGCCATCCAGTTAGAACTCTGCACAGATCAAACATTACCCTCGCATGAGCAGTCTTCCGTGCTTAATCCATCAAACAGAGACAGCCCGGCAGATGAAGGACTGAAAGACATGTCACAAAAACTAATGAAGAGTAAGTTATCTATTTGCAGATTTGTAAATGGTTTCTCTGGGCAAAGCTGAACATTACAACAACCGAATTTTCCGAAATCTGTGTGCAGAGCCTAAATTTGCTAGCAGTCTATGGGGCTGATTTACTACCAGAATGTTCACTTGGTAAATCAAGTGAAGCTGTGTTGGTTTTAAATACCCAGCCATGCAAAAGGGAAATGGGGAAAAATAGTATTTATTTATTTCACATTATTGCATGATTAAAGAACAACTGTCATGATCGTGAAAAAACTAAATATAGGTCAGCAGGGTTAAAATTCAAACAGTGTATGGCCAACTTTTGCATATATCAATATCCATTGATATATGCAAAAAAAGTGAGGGTTTAATAACCCTTCAAGGTGTAAGTATGGGAAAATGACATGTACAGTGGCTTGCAAAAGTAATCCATCGCCCCCCCCCCCCCCTTGGCATTT